ATCTTACTGAAAGTTTAGTAACCCATATCGGTCACGTGATAGCAACAGTAATGGCAACGCGATCTTATTGTAAATAGACTGTTTAGGTTCACTTAGTAGAGTGATGTACTATTCCACTTGTAAATATATATAATTCAATTCTCATGGCATAAGTTCCTGTGGCATTTTATTTTAGTATATTAGGTCCCTTGAATTGTCACTCATATTTACGAAAGTAAAGAGACTGTACTAGGCATACATGTTTCGTGAGAATTATGCCTCTCATGTGGTTGTGTATGCTAACAGCGGGATATTTGGGGAATGTGAGAATTACGAGAGAGTATAGGGAGGACAGAGAGGGAGGCAGAGATTTTTGGGGAAATTTGTGCGAAGAATCATATTTGTGGGATATTTTTAAGAGCTGGAGAAAACGGAGAAGGAGAATGGGGGATTAGGAATGGGTATAGAATAAGTTCTGGAGGATAATTAAAGGTGGGCGACTAGATTCTACTTAGCAGGAGAGAAAAGGCGAGACGCCAAAATCACTACATTCGAATCATACGTCGAAACGACTCTATTGCAGTTTTGTAGTGATTCCACGGTGGATTTACATTGAAATGCAAATTGTGTAGATTACACTTCACATAATGAGTAAAAGCTTTCAGGTACATTTCACTATTTATGAATTCATTATTAATTGAATAGCTATTGAACATTGTAAAGAGTGTGTGTTTCTGGCATCACAGTCAAGGAGAAAGAGAGCAAACTTCCATATGTAGAAACAGTATATTTCTACCTAACAATCCAAAATATCCCGTAAAACATTATTATCCAGTCGAAAGTAACTTAAGCACCACCATTTCAATCAATACCGTTCATCATACTATATTGTATTCAACAACCCGAATGTAACCACTTTGTAGAGACAGCACCACCAGCTCTTGTTTTTGTACTCATTTTGACGCTTGTTTAGGAAACCGTGCAGAGTGCACCAATTGAGCTTTACAAAAACAACCCCATTCCTACCGCCGCAACCAATAAACTACCTCCAACCCACTTCTCCATCTTCACAGCCATCCCAGTAAAGACAGACAGCGTAGCCGTCGCCGTACTACTTCCTGTAAACGTAGCATTGCTTCCCCCACCTGTCTTCGTCGCGTTAAGCGAGGCTACCGGTGGTGTAGTAGGTGTTGTGTAGGCTGGAATACTGACAATATCGCTAGTCGTAACACTTGCAGGTGTAGTTGGAATAGTTGAAGCACTGACAGATGCGATAGATGAAGGAGTAACCGATTGAAGAACGCCGGTTAGAGAGTAGATTGCTGCGCAGGCGGTAAGATCCATGCCATCTGGGCAACACCAGACGGTGAGATCGGTGGCTTGGGTGCAATAGTAGCCTTCGGAGCAGGAGTCTTTTTTTCAAGTTAGTTTGGTACGCGGTTATAAGAGGGATGGATATATGTAAGCTAAAGAGAAGACGTACCGCCAGTTCCAGTTGGACAACAGGTTTCCTTAACAGTTGGGTCGAAACAATGAACATCTCCGTCAGTTGAGGGACAAGTTTCATAACCTGTTCCGCATGCCTCTGCACAAGTGCCGTAGCCACTGCAAAAAGTTTGAGAGGGTTGATAGCCCGATTGTCGCTTGGTGAGACCATATGCTTGATTACCGAAAGGGTTGAGGGATTTGGCTGCTAGCTTGTATGGCATAGCATCTGAGGCTGCTGCGAAAGCATAAGCTACCATAATGGAAGCAGCGATGAAAGTATTCAAATTCATTTTGAGATTGTGTAGAAAACCCCTTGTGATTTCAAGCGAATGTGGAAAATGAGAAGGATTTTGGGGACAGAAAACAAGAGAACGAGATATCTAATAACGACTTCAAAGGATATCGTCAAAGTAAGAATATGTCTGTCTACTTGTATAAAAAATATCTCCTTGTTTTAAGCCTCTAAGATCATGTCTATCATGCCTGCTGTCAAAATTGTCGTTGACATGGTAGCTTCAAAAGTGGAGGCGAAGCATCATGGATTTGAAAACACGGCTGAGATATTACAGCGAATCGTTTCTCTTGGTAAGGATTCTCGTATTTGTTGAGCCTCCATTAATAAGATATTTTCTGGGCGCACACGATTATAAAATGAAGGGAGTAGGGACTCAACGCCGTTGATTCACACTGGGCGGCAACCTTCAACGCATCGATTAATGTGATATCAAAGCGCGGATACTTTAGTTGAGGCAGCAAATGATAACACGCGATGGAGGACATTGATGGAATACTGAACTGAAAGCTCCTATAGGTCTTCAATGTCTGAAATGAGATTTAGGAAGTAGACAACCGCTCAGACTTAAATGCTCCATGACATTCTCTTGAGATATCCAGATAGCCTCTCGGCGCCTTCACTAAAAGACGCATATCTTTCATCCTAGAAAGGAGAAACGGTGGCTATTTGCAAGTCCCAAAGCCATCAAATTTAAAATAGTAACAGATATATTTCTGCCTTCTGATCTAATTAATGCCAAGGTCGACGCAAAGCCTCTCTGCAAGCCATCGGATTTGAGCTGAAATAATAGCTTTGAGTGGCTACCCGATAACTCTTTGAGCTTCAAAGTTGTTTCACACGTGATGTCCCGCATCTGGGATTGGGAAGGAATGTCGCAGTGTATTTGTGATGTCTCGGCTCATGTATGTACTTGATATTGGAATACCGATGAACATCAGAGCTACATCGACTGTGTCCGATAAGGAGACAACTCGGTTGAATATAGCTGAATACATCAGGACCTTAAAGTACGAGTAAGTTAATCTGATGTTGTTATGATAGAGATAAGTATGATACATCACTGGTGCACTAGTTCGTGAGCTAGTGGCTGTCCAGAGCTCTGATTGAGCGACATACTACATTTGTGACACAAAGCATACCAAAGCAACCAGACTAGGGAACAACAAAGAAATATGCATGAAAACAAACAACCAAATCTTTAAACATCAACAACACTCTTAGTGAAATATCTAAATCAAGTCAATAAGCCAGTAAATCGAAATAATGACAAACACTTTTCTCATCACGGGAGCGACCGGTAAACAAGGGGAGCAGCAATCGATGCTCTTCTCTCTGCTACTGGATCGGCTGATATTACCATATTTGCTCTGACTCGCAACATCGAATCACCATCAGCAGAGAAATTAGCCAAGAAATCCGACAAGATCAAACTTCTTCAGGGCGATCTAAATGAATGTCCTGCAGTTTTCGAAGCGGCTCCTCAGCCCATCAAGAGCGTCTTCTGCGTTACCATGCCCAACATGGGTTTTGGTAATGCCGGCGCGAGCGAAGAAGAGCAAGGCATAGCTTTTATCGACGCGTCCATCAAGCATGGCGTAGAACATTTCGTATTCACATCTGTGGATCGTCACGGCGAGGATTCCGATAATGATCCGACGGATGTTCCTCATTTCATCAGCAAAGCCAATATCGAGAAATATTTGAAGGAGAAAAGTGCAGGGACCCAAATGTCCTGGACCATTCTGCGACCTGTCGCATTCATGGAGAACTTCGCCCCAGGATTCGCAGGCAAGATTTTTCCAACCGCTTGGTGTGCTTCTTTAGCTCCGACTACCAAACTTCAGCTCGTCGCGACTGCTGATATTGGATACTTTGCAGCTCAGGCATTGCTCAATCCGAAGGAGTACACTGGACGCGCCATCAGTCTAGCGGGCGATGAATTAACATTCGGAGAAGCAAATGAAATATTTGAATCGAGACTTGGAAAGGATATCCCAAGAACATTCAATTTCGTTGGATCTACTCTTCTCTGGGCGATTAAGGATGTTGGATTGATGTTCAACTGGTTCGAAGAAAGGGGCTATGCAGCTGATATCAAGGCTTTGAGAAAGGAGCATCCGGGACTCCAAAGTTTCGGCGACTGGTTGAAGATAAGTGGATTGTAGGGATTTTAACTATGAATGTTAGGGATTATATGGGGTGTTATTTGGAGTTTGGATCGTGGTACTTATGACAACTTTATTGACAATTTGAAGCCTATTGCGTAAGGAGAACACTTTGGATTAAAAAGCTCACAAGAAGGTAGCTGTTGTAGGCGAAGTTTAATGCAACGGATTCAGTAATAATGTTGACCATGTCTCTTCACCACAGTGTTAAACTCGTATGAAATATTGAATTTAAGTAGCAGTAAATTAGCTCCCTGTTAGGTAGATTATTTAACTTTACTTCGAGTGTGTTTGTCGTGAATATCGAGGCATAAGTCCGGATTCGCCTGGACATCACCAAATTCTGTTGGATGAGAAGTAGTTTATCCCTTCCAGGTTCGTCAAACTGTTTATTGCAACCGAGATTTCTATCAAATAGCTCAGTCCAAAACGCGCGTGTAGGTGCACTCCAACGGCGCAGTTTCACAGCCTGCCCAATCTTGGAAATCCTTGATTGGCTCTTCACTAACCCTCATCAGTCCTTCACTTCAATGGATATAGCGAGTTCTCATGACCTAGTTGAGGATAACAAGATCTTACCTTCTAAGTTCTAATATTGAATGCAGATATCATCACAAACGCGTAAGTTTGACTTATGGGCAAGAGATGTAGTTAGAAATTACAAGTTCTACAGCTATGGTGGGTTGTTTGTAAGTCGTGAAATAGAGGAAGGAAAAGAGAAGAGGAGAGAAGGGTAAAAAGGAGTTATAGATAAAAATTGAAGTGTATGTTCATATATCATTAAACATTGTCGTCTTTGTGCCACGATCTGCCAGGAATTCAAAAGCAACATACACAGTATCACATAAATACATCTGCACATGATGATTTGGTAATGCCATCTAGAATTCATCTTCATATTGATTCCGTCTGCGAATAGCAAATGTCTGGTATCTGAAGCATATAGCTCGCGTGCTATTCCTTTTCGTAAGCCAATCTTCCGCCTAACACTCTCTTTATGCAAATGTATCGATCTAATAAATCTTTTGTAATGCAAGAAATCCACTGCAATCCCTATTTTACGCCTGTGGCTGGTAAAAAAAAGTACATTGACTAAGGCTCCGTTTTGATCTTCGTCCGTAAGTGAGGTTCCTGATCCTACCACGAGTTAGTTTTATCAACCATAATTTAAAGAGGACAAGACGTGAAACCCACCTCCGCTTTCCGCTTGCCCAGAACCGTTGGCTCAGGCGTGCCTCTGTCTTTCGTGGCTTCGGCATAACAACTAGCATGATAAATACGATCGCCCACTTTCTTAGCATCCATCCATACAAACTCTTGCGCATCATCTAGCCATTTCATCTCAAACTTCTCTTGGCATATAGGACAAACACTTCCAGCAAGAGCAGGATCGTCTGGCACCGCTAAATATTGAAGCTTTGGCTTAGCATTCATAGCCAAAGATGAGCCAGCAGCACCTTGAGTAGTATCCGATGCATCATTCACCTGATCATCTTCTGGTTCGCGCCATTTTATCCAGTCCTTTAAGGTATTAGATTCTGAAAGTGGAGTAGTGGCATGATTACTTACCAATTCATCAACATACCAACTTCGATGTTGGCCCCTCTTCTCAGCCTCAGCCATTCTTTGATGAACACGGAAGTGCCAATCCATATGGGCAGCTTTCTTTTTTCGACCTTCTGTGTCTGATTGGAAACGTCGTCCACATTGTGTACATGGCGCGCCAAGTTTTTCGTAGAGATTGGAGATAAGATGCGGGCGAAACCTGGGATTGTTAGCAGGAGAGTAAGGTTTGATCGTGCAAATGTCCTTACATTTTTAATGACGCAGGCTTCAAAACGACATCATTGGGAATTTCTAGAAGTGGCGTTCTTGACACGGGGGGCGCACTTATGAAGGGTAGAGATGGGGGGAAGCCGGGAAGGTTGGCGCCGCCTAAAGCACTTGGTGGTTGAGTGGGTGTGCTTGACACTGCTGGTATTCCAGGTAGCATACCAGCAGCTCGAAGTCTTTCCAATAATGAATTAGGATCAGCTGCAGGTTTTGGAACAGATGCCAAAACAGGGGCTGAGGAAGTTGGTTGAAAGGGTAGCTGTGGAGGTACTGCAAGTTGCGGTTGAGGCGACGGGATTGCGATAGCAGCTGGGGGGGAGGGGGCGTGGGAATTTGTGGTGTTGCAGATTGTCGCGCTAATAGAGCAGCCAGCCCACCAGGGCCTAGCAAAGAGCTCAAGGTTGGCTGCGGCTGTGGTTGGGGTGTTGGCGTAGCTACAGGTGCTGGCCTAGGGGATGGAATCTTAGGGGCTGGCTGGGGAGGCCCAGATAGTTGTGCAACTTGTTCTTTTATCATTGCTATTTGATCAGGTGGAAGCCTTTGAGTTTGTAGAATGGTCTGTAAATCAAGCAAGGCTTTCAGTCTTGTTTGTATGCTACTATCATATGGACTCTGGGCAAATTCTGCCTTTGAAGAAGCAATGAGATTGGAGATATCCCTGTTTAACATATCTACGCTTGCCTCTGGTGGCTGATAACCTTGAGGCTGTGACTGCTGCCAGGATGTCGAGCTGCCTGGCTGTTGGGAATATTGAGTTGGAGGTGGTCGCTTGAGAATATTAGTATCAAGCAGGAATGTTAGAATGCTTCACATACCTGAGGAAGTCCAAGCTGCAGATGACCGTTGGCTTGGTTGTTATACTGTTGGCCATTTGCTGGAGGAGGGTATTGTTGAGGGTATCCAGAATGTCCGGGAGGGGGATAAAGAGGTTGTCGAGATTGGTTTGGAGGAGTTGGTGTGTTACGATAGGGAGCCTGACCTACGGCAGATCGTCCTCGATTCATTAACTGCTGTTGGCTTCTCAATTGCTCTTGTTGGAGAGCTGAGGTTCTAGCTTTTATGAGAGCATTTTCGATGGGGCGAGTTACTTCTGGAGGAAATACAGGACGTGTATCTATAGAGCCAGGCACAGGCTCTTTCCAAGTTTTCAACATCTCATCCATTTTTCTTCGCACATCATGAGAAACCAAAGCATACGCCTCCATGAAAGTTGAATAAAGTTGTCGACCGAAGAAGAGGGTATAAGGTGTTCCAACATTCTTGACTACAGAATCGAGGACGTAGAAAGCAGGTAGTTTCTTTTGCGGAGAAGTCTGTCATTAATTCGTAAGTAATGGAAGCAAAATGTAGGCACAAAGCAAAGCACGCATATAGCTACTAGACTCTACTAGTATTACGAAATGAGAATATTCATCCTACCTGTTTTATATGGTTCTTCAATGCCTCTGAAATGGCCAAAGCATGCTCGGTGTTTTCTTTTGCTATAACGGTTAGATTGCTGATCTCATATCTCGAATTCATAGTCAAATCTTCAAGGGCTCTTTTGTAGTCCTCCGCTACCTCATCAGAAGGGACTCCAAATGACATGATGGGCTATAAGGGAAGCCGCAGAAGGTTGCAAAGGTGCGTAGACTTGTAATGATGATCTTGATGATGGAAGGCAGCCACAGAAAAAGAAAAGGTCTTTGTCGTGAAAAACCACCAAGCTCCACGACTCGATTAAACAAGAAGGAGCTTTTAAACAACAGCTAACTAGTACCATGCAAAAGTATTCAACTCGAGAAGAACTAGAAGTGTGTATTTGATGATTGCCAATTTCTCTGAAAACTCCTTTGTAACCCTCAAACTCTCTGTATTCAATTTTCTCTTCCTATGAGGCCCAGTCCTTATAGATAGCTTGATGCCCCACGCCTTTATCCTCCTATCCAAATCCCCAAGTCAGATCTCACGCAGTTTATAATCAGTTCCGTCGACGTCGCCCTTGCAGATAATGTGGAAGTTCGAATTGGTTGTACTCTTGATATGTGTTCGCGGATTCAAGTTGCTTTGAAGTTGAGAATCAAAGATGTTTGTTTGCAGAAACGCGACGATGTTGATTTAATTGTCTTGTACTCACGCTACGGACCTGAAAGTTTATAGGCAAATTGGACTAGTGAATGGCTGAGGCACTAAGAGACAATCAATTACTTAATCACGCTAGGTATCGGTCCGCTAGCGCCACACCCAATCGATATCGTCATACATGCATTTCCGTATGTCCTCATCCCATATCCACGTTCTCCGTCTTCTGGTGGTAATCATCAATCAACGATTAATCAACCGTTGAAACGTCGCAATATTCATACGAGAAGATTCCAAGTTTTTATCAACATGTTGTTCATTGCAAAATTTACGAAGCTCGCTCTACTCGCCATTTCCCTATTTTCAATTCCTGGGTTGAGTACAGCAGCACCTCAAAAATCAGTAATTGTTTCGTATCCGGACGATACTCCAAACGATGTCGTACAGCAAGCGATGGATGCGATCAAAAACGCTGGAGGCACTATTACACATGAATACAACCTTATCAAGTAAGCATGCTTATTGTCAATTGTCTATGATTGTATCTAATTTGTTCAACAGAGGCTTTGCTGCCAAAGCTCCAGCTCAAGTCCTTGTTACTGTTCAGGCATGGGGAAACGATTATCACGCCGTTATCGAAGAGGATCAGGTTGTAAATGCCAATAACTAAGAATGGGACTTGATGACGACACGATATGAAATTGGAAATAGGCGCATTCAGGAATTTCCACTCATCGATGGTGTATACATGACGTTCATAAGTGGTACTGGGTATTATCGAGGAGTTTGGTGGTTCCTCGTCAATAGGATCAGTGTATATGGAAGACATTAGGGAAATGGAGTCGGAATAGTCTTGGGACATTTTTAATAGAATGATTTGGGAAAATGGTAATCGGCCGGACAACATCAGCATACTTAAGAATCGGGACAGCCAACTCGAGTGTCACTACAGAAGAAATATAATAATCTCTCACTTACATACCATACCGTCTCTGCAACATGCGTATTCAGGGGGTTCGTTTTCGGATAAGCTGAACGTGAATGGATGAATCAAATGCTGTCTAATTAAAAGACTCGGAGCAATATGAGTGTCTGACCGTATCACATACCATTTTCTGTTTGTAGTGAAAATTCATGTAGACTTTCTATCTCAAGTTGACCGGATCAAATTCTCCCCATCTACATACTTATCAATTGCGCAGGTCTTCGGCCATGGTCGATTGTGCAAACTTCCATAGTTCCATAGTTACACTTTAACCAATACTTTGATGGGCTAGAGTACATGCGGAAATATTCAGATGTCTCCAAACTTCTTGTCCTCTGATATGTATGTAGCTGCAAACGGACTTCTACCAATGCTCTCCTCTACTCATATACTCGACATTCTTTGAAGACTCCCTTTTCCTTTGTATGTATCATCCCCCCGCAAAATAATCGATCGTTACTGTTGATTGACCCCACAGTCAAAGAGATGTTCAACAGGGGGGACTCGAGCCTGGACTTTTAGCTTCACAACACAGGAAGAAAGTGCAAATGAATAAAAGTGTACTTGGAGACAATGAAACATGGGAAATAGAGAGCATAAATCATAGCGAGATTCCAGTTGAAAGCTTTTCCTTTCTCAATTGCTGATAACCTTAACACTATATAGGACTATAGCAAAGCAAAATCTTTCCATCCAAAATCCCAGAGCTCCCAGCCTCCTGTCTCCAGTCTTCACTCTCCAGTCTCCAGTCTCCCAGGGTCCATCACTAAAAATACAATTTCGTGTAATCTGGAAATTTACGTGCACCTGCATCTGCACCTGCACGCACGATAAGACTTCAAACCTCACTCAACTTCTTCGCATCTCCTTACACCGCCGAAATCCACAACACAACGGGTTTCTGTCAACACAGGAAAAATGCCCTCCAGTTTGGAGCCTCCCGATGACACCACAAGGGCAGTTCTATTGGCATGGGTATGCGATCCAACACTATTCTTCACGCGCTCCTCGTTCACCACTAACATCTACTCGCGATTAGATCAAGACCTTTCCTGCCGTGTTGAACAAGGTCAAGTCAATAGAAGACTTGACTGATGGCCTTATATTTTCTGATATGCTGGGTACGTTCTACATGATCGGCCATCTTATACAGGCCCTCGATACGGATGCTAATTTTGTTTAATTTAGAGGACTTCGACCCCGCATATGCCATTAAGGATATTTCGAAAACAACGAGTTCTACAAAATGGATTTCCGCCAAACAGACCTTGGAGGCCGTTTACAAAAATCTCCTGAAATATGCTCATGAGCACTGTGATAATTGGGTGAAGGCAGCGGTTGTCGAATATCCAATCGACTTCAATGCTTTGGCACAATACTCGGATCCCACCGAATCGACAAAGGTAGTAGGAAACGTGAGAACAAGAGACAGCATCGCCATAACTAACAGGGTATTCCAGCTTATAACCATATTCCTGTTGGTCGCCTTGAAAGGTCCTAATCAGTTGAGATATATCGATCGTGTCCGAACGAAGCTAAGCCATGATATGCAATCAGTGATCGCGAACCATGTAGCCACAGTGAGTTGATTTGTTCGATGGTTTATTGGATGCTGCTGAACATGATGCTACGTAGATAGAGCAAGATCTCTCAATCGCTTTACCGGACTTAGAGGTTCATCGTATCGCCAAGCCATATGACGCTCTGGATCTTGAAGAAAAGTATTCTGCCGTGTCCATGGAACATGCAGCATTGAAGAAACGTAATGCTGACCTGATCACACGTTTGGAAAATCTATCAGAAAGCCGTGATCATCTACTAGACGAGACTAAGGAACAAGACCGACTAATTAAACAGCTACAAGAAACGGTTAATCACGGAGGCAAAAGCGAATATATTTCAAGACTCGAAAAAAGACTTGAAGATTCGGAACAATTAATTGCCAACCAGGAACAGCAGCTTGAAGACGCTCGGGTAAATAGAGAACTAAAGAACAAAGAGCTAGTATCGATTAAGCACACCCGAGATTTGGAGACTCAAGACAGATTGAAGGAACTCGAAGTCGAGAATTCTGCTTTGTTGAAGAGAGCAAACAAGGTCGAACATTATGAAAAGAAACTTGCTCAGCAAAACGCTATCGAAAAGGAAAACGCAAGACTGCGTGAGCAGTTAGATGTGCTACAAGAAAACCAAAAGGATTATGATAAAGTTCATATGGAAAATGAATTGCTCAAAACAACTCGCAGAGAATACATGAAAGTGCTCGAAGGACAAGAGAATACCATAACCGACCTAAAAAATAAGGGTATGGCTTTGGAAGAAGAACTTAGGTCACGAATGGAGGAGATAGAACTTCATCTTGAAAGACAACGACATGATGAGAAGTATATCAACGAACTTCAAGAGCGCGTAGACTCACATTCGCCAGAAGAGCCGTCGGGTGGTGGTTTCAGTCTTGAAGATGAGCTTAATCGAAGTGATAGTCCAAACGAACCTAACCCATCGCTTGAAATATCCAGACTGAAAGCGGAGTTACAGGTTCTTAAAAGCAATGAAGGTGGTAAAGCTAATGCTGAACTTCGAGCCGAGCTGCAGAAAGCGGAAATGGAAATCCGGAGACTTCGCGAGAAGACCCAAGAGTTGAAAGAGGCTCACGCCATCTCTCAGGATCAAATCTCAACTATCATGGGCGACAGATCTTTCCTCCCAACAGACGAAGCGTTAGTTATAGCAGTCGACAAAATGATGAACATTGGACCTTTTCAACTGACACTCGATGATTTTCACAGAGAACGAGCGAAGTCCTCTGGACAATCACTATACCGCGACGCCACAAAGGAGATCGAGAGATTGAATCACGCAATAAACGAGCTTACCGCCAAACTTACAAGCAGCGAGCGAGATTTGTTAAGAGCACGGGCAGATTGTGAGTGATCAAGCTTCTAGTATGTGTGTAACATCAGCTAACCTCAAGATAGTGAGTGCTATGGATTCCGATGAAATCACAGCATTGGAACAGCTCAAGGAGGCCAACGAATTAGTAGCCTCATCATATGAGAAGGATTTGGCGCTTCTCCAAGCACAGCATAATGATTTGAGAACAGAATTCGTTGACCAACAGTCTCACCTTCTTGCAGCATTAAAATCCAAAGATAAACTCTCGGAACAACTGAAGAATATCTTCCAACACCCATCAGGTTCTATCGAAGGAACAGGCAAAGACTCCGAGTCTGCAACAGCTCTTGATGCATTGAAAGAGGTAAGTCAAGAGGACAATATTTCTACATCAAGACCAACTTCACCAAAAAAACAATCCGCAATCAAGCGAATCGGAAAATTGTTCAGTAATAAAAGGCTTAATGAACCTGCGTCAAGCGCTCCAGATCATGATCAGCATGATGAAGAACTTGCTAGGGAGCAGGCAGCATTTGGTGTATTGCCAGTAGCACAACCTCCATCGTCGTCTTTCTCTCAAACAAATCCATCACCTTCTCAACTTCCACCAAAATAATCTAAAGGCATCGACTAATATAATTTCCAGCAACTTCAAAAGAAAGAATCAACCATACAAGAGCTTCAACGAAGACTAGTCCTGGCAGAAGACCCAGAAGCGCAAAAGGTACCGTATCGACTTTTTATTCTCACAACCACCATCATAAATAATATTATACCTCTTATTCCAATCAATGATTGTATCCATATTGAGAGTCATATTATCATTTATGTGAACTATGTGTGCGCAAGAAACTGATTCAACTTGTGTGAAGGCCGCAAATGATATTTTGGTGAAGAACCTCACTCGCGAGAACGCCCTGATAGCCACTGCCTGGTATGATCTTACAAACAGATTACAAAGTAATCATGTGGTGCTACAACGTAGACAAGATGCGCCAAAGACTTGGTTGAACAAGCAACGACAACTTGTGAACTCAGGTCCAAGACGCTGAATTTGACACGTGTGAGGTGGTGGTAGTATGCATAAACAGGAGCTTTATAGGGAGAAATTGGTTGCATTGGTAGCGTGAATCTGCATTTTTGACGGGGTATTGGATGAGAGAACGAATTCATGATCTGAATATTCCGTATGCGTTATTGGGGGCAAGAAAGACGGTCAAATACGCACTTGGAAAGTTTAGAACAAGTTGGCAATTGGCATTTCCAACTTGGCAGCATTTTATGGATATATGGATAGAGATGTCTAAGATTGGGGTTGTAGATTGATTAGGGATGAATATCGAGCGATTCTCTTTGGTTGGGACTTTTGCGTATACCCTCCCCCTCTTTGAAACGATACGAAGTTATGGGTCTGAACAAAATTTGATTAGTATTCTATATCACAAATGCATATATGTACATTTCGCTTCGTCATACTTAACCGATGCAAAATTGGCACCATACAGTCAGTCATTCATGGCCTTCCAGCCTTTTATGTGATAGGATGGATGGCGGACTTGATCGATACCTCAACTATTTGATTGCCAAAGTTATCTCTCTGTGCTGATACGTAGAGATGGCCGAAAGCTCAATTCGAAATAGATAATAAACCATGATTCTCATTTCCCATGATGTCCCTGGAAGAAATCATGACCCCGCAACAAACCCCGAGGCAAACCAGGGACCATGCGATGACATACAACAACGCATAAGCAAGGCCATAACAGATTTAGTACAGCACGAGGTTGTTACCAATGGAACGAACATAAACCCAACAAAATATTAACCACGGCGTAAAATGGACATCCGCATCGTCGCTTGGAACATGGATGTCGGCGCTCTGTCCGCGTCCGTCATTCGACCCCCATCGAAACAGGCCATCGAGCGATGTGCCCCTTTCCCGCCAGCAAAGATACATGAGAGAAAGTAAGTGCCGCGAAAAGCTTTTGTCATCGAAAAATAGTTATTGTCGGCGAGTTGCCCGACAGGATTTTAGATGTGCAACAAAATATCTTCTGTCTTCCTTTTTTTTCAATTATGAGGTGGGAGTTTGGGGAGGGGGAAAGGGATTGGTGGAGAGGGAAAAGGGGTCGTGATGTGATATTTGGATATTGTTGCTTCAGACCCGCGGATCGCGATTGGATCGCATTTATGGCAATCGAAAATTGGAAAGACATCGGAATCGAAATCTCAATTAGATTTCGATCATTTAAGTCAGGGTCTTGTATCCAATTCTGCGTCTTGATGTGACTCTTCTGTGTAACATTTGCGACGTTGTGGAATGAAAGTTAGTAGGTGAATTAAGTTGATGCAGAGATATGAGATTTCATCATGGTGCTTGGGCTACAAATTTTGGAAGTCATATGTATAAATTATCTATCTAATTCCTGTGTCACACAGTCTAAATTTCTCAGATTGTCTGAACCTCTTGGCAGGAGAGAAGAGACAAGACGCAGAGGATAAAGTTCAGTCCCATGGGCTTGCGTAAGAAATAACAAGGTTTGCATTTTGACATGCCCGATTAGCATCTACCAGACGCCTTCCCAGGGAGTTTCAGAGAGGCCTCCGAATTCCATAGTTGACGTTCTGAACCCTTCCGAACAAGTAGAGTCCGAGTCCCCGAAACATGAAAATCAATCACTGATCATTACCTTTTCGGATCGGGTAGAATTTTAGGCACAATCCACCAATCATGATATCCTTTACCTGTTGTGGGTATCTCCACCTGGATCTTCACTTTATTGTCCTTGCCTGCACCTTCGATGGCCTTTTTGACCGCTGCAATCGAGATTCCAGTAAAGATACACGCTTTCAAACAGTCTTTGATATCTTTCAGCCAACTCTCATGAGATCCACGACAATAGGCATCTTTAGGATTGAGTTTACTCAGGATCTCGAATCCTTTCTTAGCAGCAGCAGTGGCTTCTCCAGCAATCAAAAGTAAATCGAGAGTGGTCTCATTGGGCTGCGTGACGTTGTATGTGAAAGATTCAAACGACAAGGGGGCAGGAAGGCCAATTGTAGAAAATGGTTTCATGCGGACTTCGTAACGCATTACATCGTTGCCGTATGGTCTTGGAGGTATGGGTATAAGATCCAGACGGCGAAGTGCTTCAAACAACGAAGATAGTGCGTCTGCGAAACCATACGTCGAGGTTACTTCCAACATGGAGAAGTTTATGAATGAAATTGCATTGGTAAATTCCTCTCTTTGAGTAGGATCAAGCTGCGACTCATTGCGACGTACAGAGTAGGATCGCATGACCTCGCTTCGGATACGTTCAAGATGACGACTCCTCGTTTTACAAAGATGATTGAGGTAAAAATACATCCCTGATAACTCATCTGGCTGGTAAACCTGGAGTTCAAAGCCCAATTGTACTATCCATTCCATTTGGCGAAGCTTGTAATAGTACGCCCATGATGATAGGGGAAAAGCGTAAATTGGATCATGTGATAAGGTTTTATCTATGAATGGCTTTTCTTTTGTGAATTCTCTCAGTTCCTGATCAATCTCCTCGCCATCAAGTTGTAGATTATCCCAGTCAACGATTGTGTGACAGAGTGTTCGGCGTATACGACATCGGCTTTGACACATGGTCCGAAGGATATCTATGTATGTGTTGGCCGCGCGTGATCTAAATAACTCCATCCTTTGAGCCATGTGAAATCTTGGATCATGAGTAACTTCAACTTCATCGTTGATACGATCTAGAAGCTGGTTTGCGGGTAAGGTAAGACTAGCTAGATCATCATCGAGAATTTCACGGATGGACATTTTACCCAGTATTATCATATCTGCAAACATGTAATACTGAAGTAAAGTTCGAATGTACACGGCTGGTTGAGGTTTTCGTGCTTGAAATAATGAAACAAAAGTCTTACATATGCATCATCAGCCAACGAGTAGATGATTCTCATAGTTGATATTGCACTTACCATGAGACTGTGACTATCTGTATAATCAAGTATATCAACCGCGATTTCACCATCCTTACACATCCTCTCCAAGTGTTCGTAGGCACTCTCTTGACCCACCACAACAATTGGACGTGGCGGAACCGTACTCGCGAGCTTCCTCTGTAATTTCACACTGAATGATTGGGGAACGGGCTTTGTAAGTTTGCTGGATGATTTTAGATCAGAAATAAACGAAAGCGTCTCACGCCAGGACTGCTTTGCATCTAGGGATCTTGACTCTACTACATCAACGGTTTTCAGAAAAGCTTGCCGAAAATTAAGTCGAGTCGACAAAGCTTTCTTCACATCCTCGGATATTCCATGAGCCTGCAGAACTAAATCTACAGTCTCTTTCATGAAACGAAGAATTTCATCATACTCTATACCCTCGAGCAGATTTCTATGGAATGTATGGGTCGCAAAATCTTCCTCCTAGACGCGTATTAGTGTGGCATGAAATCACTACATGAGAAGCGGCAAATACCTCGTAAAAGTGCTCTGACCTCACTCGATTATTGACATACCAACAAGTTTTGATCAGACCTAGACAGTAGGCCCTCAGAACTTGCAACATTAAAGGTTCGTCTTCGGCACAGCTCTCGTCTCTATCAAAACGGGTCTCACTGAGACTTAAAGGTGAGGGATGTAGGATTCGATCAATGTATAGACTGGTAAAGATTGTTTGAGCAAGCGGGTGACCCATGTGCCAAGCCATCTATTCGAAGTCAGTCTGCTAAGATTCTGGTTATATCTGGGATTGACGTACCTCATGACAAAGAAGCTGATCAATGATACCCAAAACTTCCTCTGGCAGTAGCGCCTGGGCGAAATCGTAATCATCCTCCATAGTTTCTCCAGGAGCTAGGTAACCACTATCCATTTTTGGATCCATGATCTGCACTCGAAGATCAGCTCAGCCATTCACTAGAAATGAAGGACAAACCTCTAGAGCAGCAACAGCCTCAAATAATGTAAAAAATGGATCCTTAATAAGGTCTCCTACTTCGAGCTCTATGGCAGGCCATTAGCACGTGACCTATACAAAAGTCTTTCGGTTTTGTGATAGGTAACACACGGTGAGCAGCATTTGTGAAGATTTGAGTAATATCCGTAATCTTAACCCCCTTGCTGTACAACTTGGGAGCGGGTCGTAGTTCCGGATTGAGCGCTGCCATCATTGCCGCTGGGTCACTGGGACCTTGATCAATGTCAAGGTCTGATACTTCTGCAAGCGGCCGTCAGCGACAGGTATTATCATATAAAAGAGGGTACTTACGCTGCGTGATAGCAGCTACATCGTTGTTATGCATGGCTATACCGTAGCTGTTGTGAATGATTGCTCAAAGCATCGAAGTATATTTTTTGAGGAATATTCGTCACTCTCGTTTCAATGTTGCGAGAAAGATAGAGTTCTCGCTTGTTACGGAAAGTGGCATGAGTGCAGTATTTCATATTCAAGAGGACAATAAGTAAATACAGAAAATTAGTTTTCAACATTGGAAGAGTATTTGTTTACATTGTATTGAGGCCATTTCATGATTTTGATGGACGTTAAATATTTAATCTTGTTTCGCACACATCAATGTCGTCTCTGTGCTCCTTGATTATAATCTTCAACTTTAGGGTGATGGGTTAAATATGTGCTACGACATGCATGAGGAACGAGAATAATACCTAGGCCAGACTATATAATATTGTCACCTTAATACATCACGAACAGAGTTTATGGGGGGTTCAAACATTTCATGTGATAAAGTATGAAAGATGCTAATATAAACTGCTTTGGAGATGTCGAGTCGTCCAGATAGTGTCATGCAGAACGTAGAATAGACCGGAGCATTTGCGAGAGTAATGAGACTTTTCAATTGCCTTGGCTCAATAGCCCTGGATGATACAAATGTACAAGTCCACTCTGCCATTCATTTCTCGCACAGGTCTTTCCCCTCCTCCCACCGGGGCGTTTAAAAGTGCCGTGTCCATATTTAAGAAGATGAAGTAGACTCTGCCATTGATGCTGCATTGGCCTCAGCAACGTTCTTGACTTCGCCTTGCTTGCCGTTCTGTTCCAATAATCCTCGTTAGTCAACCTCCCTCAATTTAATCCCCGCGACTCAAGGAGTCACTTACGTTCCACTTGGCGAATCTCAATTCCATCTCTCCTCTGCGCTCAGCGGCCAATCGTTTGTCATCTTTCAAACTTCTGCGGACAGTTCGTGCGGCGACGGACAAGTACTTGTTGTAGCTGTAATCCAGAAATACGTCAGTAAAAGTCTTCCCCGATGCGGCGCCCAATGCCCTCCATTGCGCCAAACAAAAGGGTTGCAAGGAGGCGGCGGAACTGCGACTACGTACGTGAGACCTGAGGCTTTCCACGCAAATGCCATTTTGTAAGATGAGGGTTATGTGAATCGGGACGATGTAATTTGAAGAGAAGGTTGCTGCCGTGCCTTTGACCTTCCGTGGAGCGCGGGAAGAATTGGAGAAATTTCCGAGATCACGTGATATTCATATTCCGAGCCGGCCGCCTACTCAGAGCAGAATTGGCTGACTGCAAAGTTTCTTCAGTCTAGCTTTTTAAGGTTATACTTGATAGGCATTCAAAATCTGGTTCATCCGCATCAAAGGAAATCAATCATATATTCACAGCAAGCATCACATCTACAATACACTCTAAGAGCTTTTGATAATACACCCCGTTATCCCATCTTTAAATCTAGCTTTACACTGAAAGACCAAGCTCCTCTGCATATGGAAGAACATAAAGATCACCGACTGCCGAAACTGTAGCTTTGCCCTCCAGAATAGCCTTTGCAGCCTATAATAAACATTAGTATCACGTCGTATGAGTAATGAAGAGGTACATACCGATTTCAACTTCTCAATGCTGACAGATTCGACGCTCTTGCCAACTTCGTCGATTTGGAATGCCTTACCGCCGTGGACAAGTCCAGAGCCAGTCAAGACAAGACCAGCCTCAACGTTTTGGCCTTCCTCCAATGCGTTGTACTTAGCATTAGCGACAGCCTTTGTGAAATCTTCTTGACTGATGGAACCTTCAGAAATTGCCTTGAGGGCCTTGACAGCCTCAATAGCAGCTGATCTAACAGCGGACGCGGAACCATTAAATTGAATTGCCAAAAGTCCAGCATCAGAGTAAGCAAAGTTAGTGGCTGTGGCGCTGGCTCCTGGGAATGAAGATGCAGCCTTGGATAAGATTGAGAATCCAGTGGACCACTTAATGCTAGATTTTCCACCGAGAAGAGAAGCGAGGACGGAGAATTCAGGTTTGTATGATTCTCCTGCTGTAAAGGAACTAGATCCAGGGAAAGCGAGAACAAATGAATTACCCGAGCCATGGGCAATACGTTCCTCACCACCATAGTATTTAGTGGCACCAGGACCAGAGAGACCTTGTCCGGCATGAGTACCAGTGAAGAACTCTCCTACCCATTTCGATAAATCTGCCTGACTGGCACCATTTGCAACAACGGCGATGTTTGGCTTTGAGTATGCTTGGGTTGAAAATTCGCTGACGGAGTCCGAGCTCAAGTATTTTGTGAGAGGTGTAGATGAGGATGGGAAGAGAGGCGTTCCGAGTCCTCTATGGAATGCAACACCGTGTGCTGAGTTGATAGCAAGCTCAGATACACTTCCAAGGAGTTTCTTTTGGCCCAACTTAATCTGGTGCTCGACTTCTTCGTGGTATTCATGAGCTGTTATGAACAGTCAGTTGGCGCCCTTATGAATATTTCTCAACTCCACACTTACAAGTATACTTTGTCGCGGAAATGACTTCACCAAGGAGTTCGGTAAAGTATGGTAAATCCTCCCGAAGAAACTTAGCCTCAACGACGAGTGCCTCGCGGGTGTGGTAAGCGTTCAATTGTGCGCCCAAAAGCTCAGATTCTCTGCAGATACGGAGAGCGGATCGCTTCAAGGTGTTCTAATTTGTAAAATATAAGTCAGTATCTTACACAATACAATAAAATGCGAAAGTTGGTGCCTGTTTTGAAGTTTACCTTGAATGCAAATCGCTCCAAGCCTGATGTCAAACCTGGTGCAGTCTGATATCTTGTTCCAGCCTTAGCAACGACAGCAAGTTTTGTGGTGGCTCCAGCAACATCTCTGCTTGCGACTTTAACTCCAGCAACATCAGATGATTCGTATGAGAATGAAGTCGATCCGGAGGAAACGGCAGCAAGACCACGACGATTAGCTGGCTGAGCACAGCATTGCCTGCGAACAGCAAGCTGTGCGTGTCTTCCAATCGCCGACCGTGAGATCATTGTTTGGATATATTGGTATGAGGAGGGGAGACTCGGTATTTTTTAAAGATCAAGACGTTCAATAATACCAATATCCTACAGTTCTTTTCGCTGGAAGATCTCGGAACAATCGCGCTAGTCTAAATATGGTTTAGTGTTTTGTGTAATTCAATCCCCTCCAATTTTGATTTGCCCATTCGACAATTGGTCCCCACCTCAAAATTTCTAAGTAATAATCTGAGGATTCGACAATCTGGAATTTCTATCTATTCTACAATTTTATTTAACATCTTCCATCTTGTCAATGAAACATCGGTAGTAATTGTGGAAGCTCTAGGGATACTGAAATCATCCTCTAGTAGCAATAAAAATTATGTCTAAAGTAAGTTCAATTGCTTTAAGTCAGAAGCATCGCTGTCGCCTGCTATTCGCATCAAGATACATATCACAATACTGCGAATTATATTGTAACCAGCTGACTCAATGGATAGTCCAAACATGCAGTTGAGCTTTGCTCACTGCTCGTCGATGATATTTATGGCGAACTGTCGTCTGTAAGTCCACCGCTTACTCCATCTTTTCAAAATATATTGAACCAAGCCTTGCATAAGTGACAAGGCTGAAGAAAATATCTCTGCTGTTGTAAAGTCTGACATCATGTAGCGCATTTTCACTATCTTACTTCGACGGGGAAGGTTACCTATGAATGCGCTCAAACGACACACTCAACTCACAACGCGACAATTGAAGCTTGGATTAACGGTCCTGGTTCGACAGAATTTGGTTTACCATAACTCAGAAGGCAGTGACACCCATTATGAAGCAAATATCGATGCCGCGTATGCGTTGGTTAGATCTGGGAAAATCTTAGAAATTGCGGAAGAACGGTTTGGGTCTGTTGCGGCCGAGATTATGGGACAATTGGTACTTTTGGGCCACGCTAAAATATCCGACATAATCGCAGAGTTAAACAAGAACCACGAACCACATGCCAATGGCAACGGAATCAATGGCGCGACGAATGGCAATGGTGTTCATTCATACCCCTCAGGGCAATTGAATCATACATTGATCCAATTGTTGGAGGAAGGATTTATTCAACCTGTTGGGCAGAATATGTTTCGAAGTCCGACAGATAGTTATAATGCGGTTGAAAAGGCGCTTCTTCAAGATAGTTATGGGGGAGCCACGAGAGGAACGAAGCAAAAAGACGAGTTAAGGATGAGAATTCGAGGACAGCTACAAGAATTGAGAGCTCAGGTTCCAAATTGGAAACCCATCGGTTACAATCGCTCATCTACCAATGGCCATACGAACGGCGCTGCCTCGAAACGAAGAAGACTTTCTCACAATGGCGGTGCAACTAATGGGTATGACTTTGGCGATGACGAAAGTAGCAAGCTTGATGTGAGATTTTTGCATTATCTATGGCTGTCTGTGATTGCATGCTAACACATTTTTAGGGAAATTTAGTTTTACGAATCAATCATGAGAAGTGTACTGTCTTTATGAGAAATCGGCGACTTGTTGAGCTTGCGAATTCTCGGATTGGTGTAACCACGTCGTATATCTATGCGGAACTTCTTCGACTCATGGCAGAACAGATTCCTAGATGTCGACCTGACCCGAGAATTGACGATGCTGTGGATGACGCTGATGGACCTTCAATCATAATAACAACACAAGAGTTGACCGATGCTTTAAGTAAGACAATCAACGTATCCACTGGAATTGGCAAAGCTACCAGTCAAAATATCGATACTTCCAGGCTTGACAAGCTTCAGAACGGCAGAAAGAGAAAGGCTCAAGATGAAGCAGAAGTAGAAGGTGTGGCGAGTTCTGATGAGGAGTCAGAAGATGATCACAAGCCTTCCACGAATGGAAACGGGCATGCAATGGATGTTGACGAAGATGATCCATTTTCGGATCAACCTGGAGCTAACACAAGCAAGCGAGCCGTCACTTTTAAAGACCGGGACAGAACTCCTCCCCCAACAGAGAGTCGCCAGGCCCGAATGATGCATGTAATGAGCCATCTTCAATTGTTAGCCGCTGATGATTGCCAACTACTACGAAAGTGCGGTGCTCGGCAAATGGGCGAATGGACGGTAGATTTTGAGCGTGTGATTGACCGACTTCGAGAATCCGAACTTGACTCCATTATATATGAGAATTTTGGCCAAATCGGTCATCGACTCGTACGGGTGATGAGGAAGATGGGAAAGCTTGAAGAAAAGCATATTGCTAAGCTGGCGTTGATTAAGCAGCAGGACTCCCGCACTACGCTTGTGAACATGCAAATGCATGGTATGGTTGATATTCAAGAAGTCCCCAGGGATGCTGGTCGTATGATTGTGCGTACTATACATTTGTGGTTTTGTGATGAAGATCGGGTTACCTCACTTTTGTTGGATCGAACTTACAAGGCTATGTCAAGATGCCTTCAACGACTCGATGTAGAAAAGCGACGCAAAGCAGATATCATTGCATTATCAGAGCGTACAGATGTTCAAGGCCAAGAGGAGGCCTTTCTTCGACCCGAACAGATGAACCAGTTGCGTGAGATTCGGGCAAAGGAAGAAGATTTGTTAGGACAGATTTGTAGACTTGACGAATTGGTCGGCATATTTCAAGATTATTAACTCGTATGGATGGTTTTTGGTTCGGGGCTTTAGCGTTCTTGATTTTTCACACTGGGGCGGCGCCATCTACTGCATTAAGAAAGGCGTTCTAGTATAGTCGAGCAGCAATGGTTATTTCCAGTTGACTCATTACTTTGGGATACCATAGGTTCATTTCGTAGCCTAGATTAGTTGCTTAGGTAGATATTCTCCAAATTTGCAAATTGTAAGTAGGCATGAAGCTTATAATGCTGTTGTTTCGCTTCTGATTATTCCCCCTTGAATCCAAACAATATTACCTAATTACCTACCTGATATCTTTCGGTCAACACCAGAAACTCCTTGAGAGTATTACTAAAAAAAAAGGTTAATCACTCAAGTCTTATCAAATAATATCAATCTCTCCAAGGCTCAATTCCCACCTGTTATCTCGATCATCTAAAAGATATTATCAACCAGTTTCGCCAGTTACGTTTCATACCCCACGGCAAAATACCGACTTTGTGCTAATTGTACCTGGTGTGCACGGACAACTCACAAGGGCTTTCTAAAGGTCCAAAGAAAAAAAAGTTTGGGAATCACACCAGACAAAATATTTTTCTACTTCCACAATCTTTGAAGAATAGAACAATTCGAAGCCTCGGACAATTTCAAATACTTCACTCATTTAGTTGATTTTGAAGCATTCTCTATTTGATTTTGTTATAGCCACCACAATGTCTCCAATTGCTGCATCGCCTTCTAAAGGCTATAAGTCAGAATCTACATTGGCTAGATTGTTGGGCTCAGGTTGGTTTCTTCGGATTAGTTTAGATACGAGCAATCACTTACACTATGCGTAGGATCTGCCGGTATTGCTGAGCTTGCTGTCTTTCATCCTGTATAGACACACCAAGAACCCTCATTGAAAATGAACTTACTGACCCATCAAAGGTCGACACAATCGCAAAGAGATTGATGAGCAATCAGGGATCGGTACAACCCCCCCTAATGCACTTTTCTACCATGCCATGCTAATTATTTGAACCGCAGACCAAGGGCAAGTTGGCAGAAGTTATCTTCAAGGACAAGGCAACAGCATCTGTCGGCACCAAATTCTTTTCTCTCTTCCCGGGTCTAGGATATGCTGCAGGATACAAAGTCCTACAAAGGGTCTACAAGTATGGTGGACAACCATTTGTTCGCGATTATCTTACTACACACCACGGTAGTACTTTCGAAAACACATTTGGCAAAAAGACTGGAAAGGCGATGATGAGTTCAGTAGCAGGAAGTCTTGTTGGAATTGGAGAGATTGTCCTCCTTCCCCTCGATGTTCTCAAGATCAAGCGTCAGACAAACCCTGAGGCTTTCAGAGGACGAGGTGTTGTCAGAATCGTTAGAGATGAAGGGTTTGGATTGTATAGAGGCTGGCAATGGACCGCTGCAAGAAATGCACCAGGATCCTTTGCTGTAAGTTCCCCTCCTACTCCTCTTTACTTAAACGGCTGCTAATATATTTCAAAGCTCTTCGGAGGATCTGCCTTTGCTAAAGGATACCTTTTCAATTTGAACGATTACAACAAGGCCACCTGGTTCCAGAACTTTGTGGCTTCTATCGCCGGTGCTTCTGCATCTCTTGTCGTCTCCGCACCTCTCGATGTTATCAAGACTCGTATCCAAAACCGTAACTTCGAGAACCCAGAAAGTGGTTTCAGAATTGTGTCAAGCATGATGAAGAATGAGGGAATGACTAGTTTCTTCAAAGGTTTAACACCAAAGGTATGCTTGTTCCTCACTCATTGTCAAGTAACAACACTAACGCCTAATAGCTATTGATGACTGGACCAAAATTGGTGTTCTCTTTCTGGCTTGCACAAACTTTAATCCCTGCTTTTGATATTGCTCTTTCCAAATAGAATGTTCGTGCGCCTCGTAATGTAATAATACCAAGACGGATGGGATGGAAAACTGGCGTTTAATGATATAAAACGATATATTGTACCCTCCTTGTAGATAGCTGGGAGTCGATATATGGGAGGGCAAATCACTCGACTCAAATGACAATGACAACGATAAACGGAATAGATACCTAAATTATTGCTGTTACGTATTTTGCTGTGAATCAGTGCGTGACTCAATTACTCGGGCTGATGAGCATTCTGCATCATACCCAGCAGTGTTTTGCAAGTGGTGTCGAAATTTAGAATTTTATCAGCCTCCCACCTCTCATTGTCTGATAAGCTTGCTCTGAGAATCCAAAAGTCTCATTTTGTACAAATCTAGGTAGAGAGTAACAGTAGAATTCTACGGCTTCTCTAGTATACTTCATCATTTATTACCCCTCCATGAAGGAGCTATGGCATCTCGGCAATAGCCGGGGATTTCTGTATCCACAAATTTCAACTTATTTAACCATCAACTTCCCACAAACACAAATCTTCCATACGTACACCGTAATAATCTACACGTGGAAGCATCATCATGCCTACTCCAACATATCTCATATCTAGAGTTGGTGATCCAATCTTTGCCCTATTTATTGGGGTAGGGGCAACGGTGACTCGTATCAACAGGGAAGAAAAGGAACAAGGACGCACCACTCAGCAAACGATCGATTCTGCATTCAGGTACGTAGTTTGGAAGTCAATCCCTCTTGAGCATTCAATAACACACGTCATATAGAAGAATTGGCTTTCCTCGTTCGAATGATCCCTTGGCGAAAAAGAATTAATAGTTGTGGAAGGAGCCCTCGATTGGTCGAGATGCACAAAATACTTCAAGGAAGGCGCATGTCATGCTCTATATTTCAAGACTTTCCTTCCATTTAAACACATATTCATCATACAACAACAAGTATTTCACCAACTTGAATTCCTGGAATAGTAGTAGTGCAACTGTCAGCACTTTAATCTCACTCCGTCTCCTATCCTTCACGCAGATTCTTTGCATTGGATAGTGAAAGACTTTTACAATATTCATACAATTTTGATCTCTGAACGCTTCAATGGCAGAAGGCAGCGAAGATTCTTACTTGTACATGAAAAGCCATTCAAAGGTCAATCATGACTTCGTCAATGGAGAAGCCGTTTCTGGCAAATCACCATCTACCTGTGTCCCAAAGAAGCTCAGCGCGGATACTCGAGCCATACCTGCTTCGCCTACGCATAAACCTAACCGTCAAAAGAGCAACGCAGTGGCTGGACATGGCGAATCTTCTAATGTCACAAAATCTGTGGACGCTCACACCGTTGGACCGCCCAATCATGATGATTGTATGGCTTTTGACCTTTATGAGCAAGATCCCGACATGGTCTACGGATCCTCGGATTACAACCTTCGAAGACAGTCATCGGACTTCCGATTCAACTTTGAAGATATGATTGTTTTGCCAATGAGACTCAAGAAGCCATCCACTGCGATTAAGTTCGACACACCTTTTACTGATATCGATGAGTTCGACTACGCAGATCAGCACGTCTATTATAGTCAACTCATCACTACTGTCAACTCAAACTCGGCGGTACACGAATACGCTGTACGCAAAGGACCTCTTTGGGACTGCGCCTGGGAAATTCTTGTACCAAAAGGTCTTCATCCAACCTATCTTACAGAGGACGAATTTGTAAAGTTGGTGTTAAGTCAGGGCAACGATACGACCAAGTGGATGGATATCAACGTTCCAATTCTACATAGAAGAGCACTTCAAAGAGCAGGTGCTGCACGTCAAAAGCTTTCAAACGCGGGGATTTCTCCTTTTGAGCTAACTCAAGAGTATCTGGAGTCTTTTGAATGGATGGACAAGATTGAGCAAGATAATTTTATTAAGACTTTCCAGAAGCTGCAGTTACAAGTCTCCTTTCAGAAACAAGGTATTTCAATGAGAATTGAAGATATCGACAAGATTTCTTCTGAGGATGAAGAGAAGCTCATTGGAAAGTCACGTACGAAGCTGGTTGACGGGTCTTGCATCCAACAAGACTACTCCTCCGAGGTTGACGACTCGTTCATGGTTGACAAGCTTAGCCTTGAAGAATTTGAGAACCAGTTCTGGAATGACGATTACAAGAAGGCTTCCCCATCATCCAAGAAGGCTCCTGCTCCGTTCCGCAGCACGCCAGCTCTACAAGCACATCAATCTCCAACTGCCCCCAACCTTTACGACGAAGCAGTTTCTTTGGAGTGTCTGAAGAACATTTTATATTCCCAGGGTATTGAACCTGGACCATCCTCTCCACCTCTCAAATCTAGTGAAGGCTCCGACTACTCCAAGATTAGTCAAGAGACTAAGGATACCCATAACACCGATAAAGTTTGTATGAGCCAATCTTCGTTTTCACCACTCGAAGCTGCCAAGAGCTATCCTTACAAAAGTTCTTATGTTCTTCCACCAAAGAATTCTGATTCTCACGTTCTCTTCTCTCTCCAAGATCCCCCTTCTCTAACTCCTCTCAAAACTACACAATCTGAACCTGGTCGTCTTGACTTCTTGAGTTGCTCAAGCCATGATCCTAGTGATGTCGGCAGCAGTACCCCGAGTTCCAAACCACAATCACGCAACTCTGAAGCTAGTTCTGTCGGTGGAGCCCCTCTTACGGGTACTCTTAGTGGTAGCAGTGTATCCCAAAGCCAACAATCATGCAAAACAGAAGGAAGCCGGGCAAGTGGAGCTAGTGATAAATTCGCCAGTATTGGCAAGAGAATCGAGGGTTCCCCCAAAGCTCTCAAGAAGAAGTTGAGTTCAGTTTTCGGAACGATTGGAAGATCTGGAAGATCGGGTACGCAATGAGAAGAGACTGCTTGAGTGTTGAAGATGTTGTTGCTACGAATTGCTCATACTGAGACATTGTTTATTACTCAAGGATGTTCTATTGGGATGAAAGGATCACATATTGTGCATAAGACATGTGAGGTGCTCGTTTGATGGAGAATTCACAATGAAAGAAACATGGTTATGGAGGAGTGTCGCGGGGCTCTATTATCAACTAGTATTGTTAGGGTTGGAATCGAGTATGAAACTATGGTCAACAGATAGCTTGAAGTCATTACCAACCTCTCTGGGTTTACGGAGAGATAATTGCACATTCGTTAAAAGTTAGATTAGTATAGGACGGAGAGATAGTCAGAATTACAAGAGATCAATCACGAACCAAATGACATCATCAATGCGTGTTGGAATTCATGAAGGGACTCCACCCTCTTAAACTTTACGATTGAATACAAGCATGTTCGATCACTCCTCAAATCACAGTCTCATTAACACGGCAGAAACTCAGTAAATCACGAATCTAAAGACTTCACGTGTACCTAGCACATTGTGAAACCATGCATGTGTTGGCAGAAAGCATCGTATCATATTGTCCCTATTCCCAATAACCCCTCCCACTAAAAGCATGAAACAAGGAAAGGATAACAACCCCTATGAATAATTCACAACATCGAAGTTCCGAAATCTCCACTTCCGAAGAGCATACGCAACTGTTCCATTAACCCATATACAGATAATCACTCTTTTCTTGCTGAATTCCTTTGCTGCAAACCGTAAGGGAGGCGCTTAGGATGATCGAAGAGGTAGATGAGAAATGGTTGGTCGGTACGCTCCAAGGTGTTTGAGGGGAAAGCTTGGAAGTCGACGAGTGAAAAAGAAAAACTGCCCCAGGTTGTAATGTAGTCACACTGCCCTGCCTATCCATCACCGCCTCGCCTTATAAACGCCTATGATGAGTTGTACTGAAGTGTCTAAGGAAGCGGGATTTAGTTGGCTTCTTCTAAAGCGTCACCGAAGGTGTTCTCGCCCGAGTATGAGATGTATAGGAATCTATTTCGTAGCGAAATTAGCATTTACATCATAGAATCATTTGGGATTTCTTTGTTCATTCATGAATATGGTGGTGTGTTGAAATCAATTTGGTTGAATCGCGATAATCACGATAACGGTGACGATAGAGCGGTATGACGTTATGAAAAGTAGATAATGGAGAACATACCCATCCTCATCCTTATGTTCCTCATAAATGGAGCTCATCAAAGCGGCAGTAGGCGGTAAGACCTCATCGACGAAAATGAAGATGGCCTTTTCCGGGGAAAGCTTGATACGTTTGCGGATAACGTACACAAATTGACCGACGGTGAGATCGCTGGGAACGAGATACTTCTTCTTGTCGATCGTGGCGATGTCGGATTTCTCGACCTTCTCGCAGATGACGGGGATACGGTCGGAGTATTTTTGACGCTGGACACAAAAGTTAGTCGGATTGTGGTGAAAGGAGTGCAATAAGTCGGTTTGAGGGTTTGGGGGATGCGATCGTGGTAGTGGGGAAGAGGAGGTAATGGTTAGGAGGTTGGAATGCGACTTACGATGCGTTCAGCTTCAGCCTTGCGCTTCTCGAATGGGTGCTCGTCCTTAAACTTGGATCGCATTTTGAAATGGGTTATTAGATGTTTTGTTGGTTAAGAGTTGTTGGATTATTGTTGAAAGTTGAAGAGGTTTTGGAAGTGTTGATGTTGTATGCGTTGTGTTGTGTTGTTGGTGTAATGGAGGATGATGGATGATGGATGATGGAGGGGAAAGGTAGTGTGAGGGAGTAGGTAGGGAGGGAGATGTAATGGAGAGACTAATAAAGTATTGTTAAAGGCTATAAAGCCTGTCTAAGTGCAGGTGGCTAAGTAGCGTAAGCGGTGAGGGATTGATTGTGAATCACACTTCCTGCCTAGCGATAAGTAAATTGTACGGGGGATTCTGCTTTAGATGCGTATTATGATGCTGTACTGTGACTTGCAGGTGTGGTTCTATGAGAAGAGTGCGGGTTGAATATGGATTTATTATATGGTTGGCACAGAGGCATGTATGTAATGGAACAAGAGCAGCTGACGATGGTGAAGAGTGAATATGAATGACATGCTTGTTTCAGATTACTCCCAAGGGCACATGATTGTAGATATACTCATACAATGATACAAGTGATCATTCATTCATTCATTCATTCATTCATTCATTCATACTCCATACTTTATACTTCATACTTCATACTTCACACCTCACACCTCACACCTCACACCTCACACTTCATACTTCACACCCCATACCCCATCGCCTCCCTTTTCTTGGTCATGGTCATGCTGATTCTCTTTGACCGTCGTTCTCATCCAACCTATCCAATGCTCTTTCTACCCTACATACGCTCGAGGGATGGGACTAAACCCCAGACAGCAACCCCACTCCAGATAGAGGCAAAGAGGCGGCTAGAGATGGAGTCAAGAAGGTCACGGGTTTCTTGTTGGAGGAGGACCTTGACATCCTTACCAGGAGAACACACCAATGGTCGGTGTCAAATGATCTCCTATCATTGAAGTATACATGGATAGATTGTCGTCGTTCTGCCAGTAGTAAGTTACCCGGGTATACATAGTAATCTATCATCTCACACCTGGCGAGCCTGGGTATATGTATCTCGCATCTGGACGACCTCTCAGTCGTTCTCCGTAAGGTTTTCTTTTGAATCTTCTTCAACTTATGATAAGCGATCTCACGGATCTGTGTACTGATTCTGAGCAAGTCCTCCGTAAATCCCGTAAGTCTCTAGGTAGGTCTTGAAAGTCTCGTTCTGCTCAGCACCGGTAAATCCTTACCAAAATCTTCCGATGGTGGCCAGTGCTTGCTTCCCTTCCTAAAAGTTGACCATTCATCGCCGTCATGATCATGATCATAGAAATCGTACCACGGCAAAGAGCGAAAATTACATCGACAAATCTAGTTCTTTAAATCACACCCAAACAGTCACTTCCACAACAAGATCTCCTTATTTGTGGCATGTTTCTTGTATTATAGGGCTCAAATCTTCTTCAATTCTAAGCTGACCATTTCCTTTCCTTTCACAATGTCTCTTCCCATAAGAAGAGCTCGATTCTCGAGCTTGGGAAGAACTTCTTTCTCTAGACATTCTTTACCTTTGTATCCTCGGAGAACTTTTGCAGATCACCAAAAGCCTCCTAGACCAGGCTCTGGACGACCTACTGTTTGGGCACCAAAAACTAGAATTGCTGTTGGCGTTGTCTTTATTGGTGCTTTGATTTACAATATGGTATGGAGCATGCGATCAAGACTCATGCTTCGGGCTTCACTTACACCTTAGTAGGCAACAGAAGAACCGGCCAAGTTGGATGCCCCTAGCATTGCAGAACGGGATACCCTCACTAAACGTGAATCTGGAGTTACGGAGAATTCGCCCATGCGATTGCGAATGGAAGAATTCATTAAACAACAGCAAAAGGAAATCGTACACGAATTGGAACAAGTCGATGGCAAGAAGTTTCGAGTTGATACATGGACCAGGGAGCATGGCGGAGGTGGGATCTCCTGTGTATTGCAAGACGGCAACGTATTTGAGAAGGCAGGAGTAAATATCAGTGTGGTATATGGAACATTACCTCGACCGGCAATTGAGAAAATGCGAGCCAACCACAAGTCTATCGACCCTGATGTTCAATCCCTCGACTTTTTCGCTGCAGGATTAAGTATGGTCCTCCATCCAGTCAATCCAATGGCGCCGACTGTCCACCTCAACTATCGATATTTCGAAACCGAAAACCCCGATGGTTCACCGGCCGCATGGTGGTTTGGTGGTGGAACGGATCTTACACCTAGTTACTTGTTCGACGAAGATGCTATTCATTTTCACAAGACAATTAAAGAAGCATGCGACAGCCATGACAAAGAATACTACCCAAGATTCAAGAAATGGTGCGACAACTATTTCTCCAATAAACATAGAGGGGAAACGCGGGGTGTTGGAGGAATTTTCTTCGATGATTTAGAAGAAGGAAAGGATCAAGAAAACTTGTTTGCATTTGCGCAAAGTTGTTTGAAAGCTTTCCTTCCTTCATATCTCCCAATCATCAATAAGAGGAAGGATATGCCATACACCGAGAAAGAAAAGGAATGGCAGCAAATTAGGAGGGGACGATATGTAGAATTCAACCTGGTACATGATAGAGGTACAGCTTTCGGATTGAATACACCAAGTGCGAGGGTGGAAAGCATTTTGATGAGTTTGCCTTTGACGGCTAGTTGGAGGTATATGTATGAGCCGGAGAAGGGAAGTAGAGAACAGAGATTGGTGGATGTTTTGAGAGAACCTAGGGAATGGGTTTAGATGTTAGATGTGGGAATAGAAATAGTCGATTGATTAAATTTTTGCTGTATATATGAATTAGAAATGTATGTATGATATCAATGAAAGAAATGAATAAAAGAAAGGTATCAGTGAGGCTTAAAATAATGGGTTTGTAGCCTCCATACTTATAGTGCTTGTAGGCAAACGAACGAGCAAGCGAGCTTGGTTCCACCCCTCCTTTTCTGTTCTATCCAATCTCATCCATTGCACATCGAGCACGCTTCAACATCTTATCTTATCACCACTTTAATCTTTAACTCTTCTGGGAATGTCCGGTTTCTATTTAAACGGAACAAAATCTATGTATCCAATTTCTATTCCATTCTATCATAGAACTTCTCAGAGGTCATTAATAAAAACAGTCTCGTACCCTCCATTCCCATCCCATCACAATGTCCACCAGTCACCCTGCACCTCTACCTCCATCCCGTGATTTCATGACATCTCTCTTCAACAGTCTTACTTCTCCCACCTCTTCTCCTACTTCTCCAATACAAATCTCCAATACTAGTACAGATTCAAACACAAACACTACATCAGCTTCCATCTCACACACACAGAGATTTGCAAAGGAGAATGAGACAGACAATCAAAACCACAATCCATTAAAGCAAATAGATGCGCAGAAAAAAGCATTGTTGATGACGCTACATGTGATCTTTCCTCCGCCGTTGCTATTGCACGCGTTGGATTTATTGGATAGAGGGGGAGTGGGGAGGGTAATTTTGGAGGAGGGGGATGTAGAAGAAGGAGATGGTAAGAGGGAGGGGGGAGGGGATAGAAGGGATGGAGAGAGAAGGGTTATAGGGGAAATTTTTAGTGGCGCAGGAAAGCAAGAGGTAGAGGGTGGCGGGAATGTAGGAGTCGAAAACACAGGAGTAGGAGAGACAGTTATCGACGCCTGTAAACCCAAAATCTCTCCATCCACATCCACATCCCCAAACAAGAATCTCCCTCCTCTCCCTCCTCCCCATCCCACCCCAAACCAGCGCTCTCCCCCAAAACAAAGCCCAAAACACTCTACCAAGTGCGCTCCTCTCAACCCCCCAAATGGCACTCCTCACGCTCCACATCCACATCCGGAGCAGCAACAGGAACAGGAACAGGTCATACAACTGCTGAAAATACATACACTGTGCATCTCGACGCTTGGAACTGTAGCTGTGCCGCTTTTGCATTTTCTGCTTTTCCTGCTTCTTCTTCTTCCTCCTCCTCTTCTACTTATCCATTGCTATCCACTTCTACCTTGTCAACTTCTTATTTTCCATGGGGCTTGGAGCGCTCCCCAGATGAAGAATCTTCAATGTCAGTGGAGAAGGGAAAAAAAGAGGAGGGAGAGGAAGAAAAGTGGCGATATGGAGGCTGGACGAAAACATCTCAAGTACCGATTTGTAAACATTTGTTGGCGTGTTTGTTGGTGGAGAGATGGGGTGATGTGCTAGGGATGTATGTACGAGAGAGGGTTGTGGGGAGGGACGAAATGGGTGGGCTGGTTGTTTGAGGGGGGGAGGTTGGAGGATTGGGGTGACCTATGGGAGATGGGTTATGAGAGGAGGAGATATAGAGAAAATACGGCGGGGAAGAGAATAGTGTGATGAGGGATGTGTCGCCTAAGGTTAAGGCTGGAGTGTTGATTGGCGCATGGGAGTTGGAACTGTTCGATATCTCTCAAAATGAGTGTAGGAATTCGAACACTAGAGGCAAAAAGAAGGTGGAGAGCTCAGTTGCTTCTAGATTCGAGATAAAACATCAATGAGCACTTGCAGAGCGCTAAAATCACATTTGAAAAATTTCCACGGCTGCTATTATTCGCAAGCTATGCATTTATGATACAGTGACATATCATTCTCAAGCTCATCTCAAATGCCCTATGTCATGCCGCAATCTGAATGCCCATACCTCATAAACACCCAAAGATATTCACCAACTCCCCATTTGTTCGTCATCACTTCTTCTTTTCCTTATCCTCTTTCTCCTTTTCCGCTTCCTTACCCTCCTTAGCATCCCCATTCACACCATTAGTTCCCTCAGTCTTCTTGTCCTTCTCATCTTTGGCTTCATCCTTTTTGGCATCTTTCTCCTCTTGTTGTTGTCTATTTTGGATTTTGTTTTCGATAAGGTCGTGGAAGGCGGTAATGGCGCGGATCAAACTACTTAAGTAGATAGCCATCAATTGATCGTTGGTCTTTATGCTCATGGCATGTGCTAGTTCGCTGTTATTCTCAACAGGTGCATCGGCGCCATTGGGAATGTGAGAGGAGGCTTTGGGTGTAGATAAATTAGGGAGGAGGTTGAAAACATCTTGAAGGTTGCCTAGAATGGCGTGGTTGACTGGTAGAGTTCCGTCGAGGACGTTTTGTAGATATTGACCAATATCTCGTAATCGTGCGTGTAGTCCTTGCAATGATTGCACTTGGCTTGTGATTCGTGTTGAAAGTGTACCAACCGCCACATCTCTAATATCTCTAAGTAAATGTTCAACTCCGATTTCTTCAGCCTCCTCAGCCTCGATGATCGTTGGTGTATGTACGAAAGTCTTAGAGGTAGTTGTGCCGTCCTTGAATGATGTTAGGAATTTCCCAATTGCCTTTCCCTAAGATAATGAACTTACATCTTTAATCTCCTCTACCGCAAAGTAGGCATCTGTCGGTACGCCGCTGTCCGTTGGTTGACAATTGATAATCACAAGTAATGGGTTGGGTGTATATCTTTTGAACAACTCATTGACCTCCAAATCCGAAGCTCTGAGCTTAGGCCCAGAATGATACCATCCTATCAGCTTCTCCTTTGCATTGATCTTCTTGAACATATCATTCATCGATTCGACGTAGTTGTGGTCCAAAAACCATACTGATGGGTCTTTCTCGTCTTCTTCGAATGGAACTATTTGAGGTTGCTATTAGTATGGTATAAAACATCAAACCAAGCTCAAATGAACATGCTGGAGAGAGTCGACATACCAGCAAAACTGTTTGATACTCGTACATTCTTTCCTTCATTCTGTCCTAACAGAACTCCAACCACTCTGCGCGTGCCTTTACTTTCTGACCGTCCATAATGATCTGCTGCTGAAAGTAACACCAGCGGCGCAACCGATACAGTTCTCGAAACGAGGGAGAGGGTTTCTGCTGTAGTAGCAGGCATGATGAATTTTGATTTGTAGAGGTTGGTTGTTATGGAATAATGGAACAATTGTTGACAAGGCTGATATTCTTAGGTATTCGCGGCCAGAGCTTGCCTGGCACCCGGTGCTTAACCTTAGCTCCAAACCGAATCGAGACGTTATCACGTGTCGCACAGCGGGCACTTTGGTTAGTGGCGGGCGGAAGGGCGGGAGTCAGTCTCGGAGTAAGGTACGATGAGGTAAATGTAAATTGTGGACAGGAGGATAGATCGGATGTAGGATACGGATCATCACAAGGTTGAAATTATACAGTACTGTATATCTCTCTTAGAAAATTATGAGATTTTGCTGGTGATGTAAGAATACTGGCCCGTATCATCCAAAAGAACCTCGGACGGACTTCACTTTGTAGACACAGAAGGAGTTCCAGGAGCTGGAACTTCAAAATCGTATTACCATGAAGATAACTTTGTAAAGGTCCGGTGAAATATCTAGCCAGACATACTTCAATATACTAATGAATAGCTACTGTAAAGATAAGGCCTCACTCGGGTCCCTGATGATATAAATGTCCATCGATTTCCCTTCATAAAATATTTATATCTTCTTCTTCTTCCTCTTCTCGTTGAGAGATTCTTGACTTGATACACTGAGGGGATATCCCGGTGAATTTTTTCCGTCCCTCCGGTTGCCGCTCGGCAGAACAAGCTAGATTTACAGTGCTCTATATTCATTGTAACATTTCCATTCCCATTCCCTCACGTCCAAGGCTTGCGAAACTTTTTCTTCTAACTCTCTCCACTCTACAATCTGTATATTTTGGATTATTCCCATACCTTTGTTTCGTTTTCCTTCACCCCATTAATTCAAAATGGCACCAATTGGCGATGATGCCTCGCAGACCCTCCATGACTTGGTCAACAAACTCGAGTCGAGGGTCAAGGAGCTCGAAGACAAGCTTGCGCATGCGGCTGGTGGCCCAGCACCATCTCCTTCTGAGAGCGTCAGAATGATTCTTATGGGTCCTCCAGGTGCTGGTATGTATTGATGAGTTTTCTGGTCTTGCAATCGTGTTGTGTAAGCAAATGGGAAGCACCAGCTAAACTGTTTTGTACAGGCAAGGGAACTCAAGCTCCTAAGATCAAGGAGAAATTCTCATGCTGTCATTTGGTAAGCTATTCTACTTGCGGGGAAAAGGCAATACTAATGCTAGTTTTAGGCTACTGGAGATATGTTGCGATCACAAGTTGCGAAGAAGACACCATTGGGCCGGGAAGCTAAGAAGATCATGGATCAAGGTGGTCTCGTCAGCGATGAGATTGTTATTGGCATGATCAAGGCCGAACTTGAAGGCAACTCAGAGTGCAAGGGAGGGTAAGTGCCGTCGGAAATTATAAAAGAGAAAAGCTCGTTCTGACGTGAAACAGATTCATTCTTGATGGTTTCCCACGTACAGTCGTGCAAGCAGAGCGCTTGGATGCCATGCTTGCAGAGCGCAACCAAAAGCTACAACACGCAGTTGAACTTCAAATTGACGACAGTCTTCTTGTATCCCGCATTACTGGACGTTTGGTGCACCCAGCCTCAGGCCGATCGTATCACAGAGTATTCAACCCACCTAAGACAGACATGAAGGACGATATCACTGGTGAACCATTGGTCTCAAGATCCGACGACAATGCTGAAGCTTTGAAGAAGAGACTTGTTACCTACCACGCTCAAACTGCCCCTGTCGTTGGTTATTACCAAAAGACCGGCATCTGGAGTGGAATTGACGCTTCACAAGAGCCCGGCGCCGTTTGGAAGTCACTTTTGGGCGTATTCGACAAACAAAAGGGTGCTAACGGTTCGATACTTAGCAAGATTACCGGTCGCTCTTAGAAAGACATTGGAATAAAGGCGATAAGTTAGCTTTGCTTAGAGTTCTAAAAAAGTTGTAATTGCATTTAAGTTAGTAGGCATAAGTGCAATCTTTCTGGAAGGAAGGCGTTTGTACAACCAAAGATATGCAATGGGGGCCGTGTCAATTTAGAGGCTCTGTGTATTATTTGCACTGCGTTTTCTCGCACTTGAAGATTATTAGAAAGTGCTCAAATTGAATGAAGTCATTGAACAATCTTTCACAGAAATAAAGTTAAGATCTTCTCACATTTTACAATCTCATTTGCCATGCATTCATTACGTTTTTCCGGGGCACACTGTGGCTTTTCCCCAAAGTAAACTGGCAAAGAACCCACGGTTACCCAACATAAGGAGGGCATGGGAAATGGTTGGATAGCTGAAATCGGGTTACATCCGCCGATATATGAAGGTTACGGCTGCATGAAGCCGCGGAACACATGTGTAGCTGTAAACAAAATTTTCTTCATGTTTTTCACCTGATGATGACGCATTGCGGAAGTTCTTAAAGAAAGGATGGCTGTCCAGGTAGAGAAAGTGTAAGAATGAATACATATGGTCATGTCAGCAGTTCTTGTGCAATATATCATTTGAGTGAGAAAAGCATTGAGGTATTTTGGAGGATTACTCGGTAAAGAAAGGAGTATCTACAATAGAAAGAAAGGATTCATTAGATCGAGATTCATCAGCTAAGCTGTGTCCCTTGCGTGGACAATTGATGTCAAGGAAGGTCGGAGGTTGGAAAGGCCGATGGTGTGTATGTTTTCTTCTGGTCTTCGACTTGATCTATACCTCCATTGCTTTCTTTCAACAATGAAGATAAGTTACTTTCTATAAGACTAGAAATTTGACTGACAATGATTGAATATAGAGAGAGTAAGCGGTCTGCTGTGGTGATTGATTATGCAAGAGAGTTGTATCATATGTATGAGGTACGCAACGTTCTAGAGAAGAGTTCATTATTTCTAGCTTCAAGAGGTCTTCGAGAGCAACTACTATGCTAGGTCCTACTGCATCTGTATAAGATGAAATCATGAATCAATGAGTATGAATACTAGTGTGTTCGTATGCAAAGCTTAACGCCAGAATGTTAATTGGGCCGATTCTTTTTTTCGAAGTTTGTTGGATGGGGATGATTACCCCTTTTGGAAAAACAACTCCAAAGCGAGATCGCTCTTTCCAACTGTAGTTAGTTGGAAGGGTGCGAACTTTCCATAATATGGAATTCAATTATCTTATCAGCATGTAGTATGTGTTGCAATATATAGCTTGTTTCATCAAGTCTCTTGCCTTCTTCATTTCTAATCTTGCAATCCTTTCATGGGACTTTGGAAGGAAAAGACAACTTTGACATCTGAAATACTACCATGAGATTAAAAGATTCATCTTGACTTCTCCATTGTTGTTTGCCAGGGGATCATTCCAAAAACCTCTTTTAAAAAGTCACCACTGTGATCAACAAGGTACATTGAGTGTTCAGGTCATTGCTCGAGGATGTTGGAAGAACTTTTTTTCATTGCCATGCCGACCTGAATTATCTGTCTTAGTCTACTTCTCACCTCTTCATGGTTTGAACCCCCAACATTAAATCAGTTTACCTTTCTCCATTGTGATTGATTTCCTAATATTGTATCAAACACAATCTGATTATTGGTAGCAGTGGATTACAACCTTCAACGTCAAGGTACCTCAAATTAACTCCTCTTTGCCTTAACATTACTTTAAGGTTGTACATTCGACCTTTTTTGAACCCTCATCCTATACTCTTCTCCAATACATACCTCCACGTCGGTCGATATCTGATAATATTGCCGTGTTTGGTGTTAACACGGTATAGCTTCCTTTTCCACCAGCCGCGTTCATCCTCTGACATTTTCAGTTTCGACAAGCAGATTTGTTATCCCACAACAATTCCCTAGATCAAGCCCAACGTTTTTTCTTATTGTGATCTCCCTCGTGGCTCTTTATCCTTTTTTACCAAAAGACCACGGCTTTCCGTACAATTAATACGTCAAGAATATCTCGAAGAGTGTAAGTCTCCTCCTGCTCCCCAGTTTCTCCATAGTTTGTGTTCTGCGTTTGACCTCCTCCACCACCACTACAATGTTTTGGTATTGTCGAGAACAGCACAAACTAGACATAATACACGTGGATATACGATCCTATTCCCTCAACTTCATTGTTTATTGGCCTGGCATACTGAAGCATAGCATCAGATCATATCTCCACTTTTTCGATCTGACTCGAACTTCAAAACACATTTTCGGTACGTGAGCTCTCTCTCGGTCTTAATTTTAAGGGAACATGGTCATACGCCTAAAGCACATCTGATACGATATTAGTCTATCAACCAATACGACAAAGTGCAAATTTTCATCATGGCGCAAGTTATGATGCCGGTATGTGGCTCTTCATCCTTTGCGCGATACCCAAGATTACTAACAACAAGTTTAGATGACACCGTTCAATCGTGAGTATCTTTATCACCCGAATTATCTACAATCATATCAACACTTCATCATATTCAAGTTTTTGCAATACAAGCAAATCAGATCTAATATTGTCACAGAAAATGAGAATGGCACCCCCCCTCGTCCCTTGAGTAGACGCAAGAAGAGAGAAGCCGAAGCCGAAGCCGCAGCCGTCGTTGTCCTATCTGAAGATCGCAGACGCGCCCTCGAAGCTACCTATAACGGGGCTAGCGCTGGCGAAGCCCGCGAGAAACTCCTTCAAAATCCAGCAATGTCACTTGGACCTGGTCTTCATCTGCCACCTACTGAGGTAAGCATGAGTGTATTTGCTATACATTTGATGTGGTAGCAACTCAGACTTACAATTATATCTGCTTAGGATAAGACATATAACCTACTCACCCATTTCCGTGTTCCTGGGCCTGAACTCGTCAACAAGAGCGTCCCCAGCTGTGGCTTGCCATTAGGTTGGTCTGACAAGCATGACCGTTGCATTGCGTATATGTCTACTCATGCTCCGTTGGTTCAAGGTAAAGTTCCCAGGCAAGAGGCACTCCAGCCTCGGTACACTACACGCGAAATCACTTCCTTCCTCTTGAAGCGATTTCCAGAGCTATGCCGCCATGTGGGTTCACAACATACCATCACACGTCTGGGTTTGAGCTGACTTTACGTAGCGCATTAAGGAGTCAGTCATTGAGTTACGCCTGGAACTGCTCGACCGCTCTGAAAATTCTTATTTCAGTGTTGAGTATGGTGGTTATAGTGATCATGAGTGGGCTCGAGGCATCTGAGAGTGTATCTTTTTGAATTCAAATCTGCAACTAGATGTGCTGCAACTGAGGTATGAACGCTATACATATATTGCTCATCGCGACTGACTTGTTCTTTAGAGCTTCTCGCAATACGTTCCCTTTCACTTGTACAACGCTCCTTGTACAGCTTTGGGTTTGGGATGGACGAATGCTATTTTGCTACGATAATGAATCAAGATACTACATAATTGTTTTTATGGTTTACGATTTCCTGCATTCTCAGATAGATCATGAATTATATCGTAAGGAGTCTTCTCTCTATCTATGAATTTATGAGGCGGCGTTTTGAATTTTATGCAAGCTTCAAGATTGTTGATTGATCATCCTTTAAGATGTCTTTCTGCTTTCTTTTAGAGAGCTTCGATACATGCCGTACGCGGCACCTGTACTAGATTTATCTAAAGCTTATTGACTTCCAACGTATCAAGTCTTGACTTTGAGCTTACAGTGATTGTGATATGTGACTCGTTGTTGAGGTTGTGATGAATATCTCTTCCTATGGTTCACGCTTGCGTTTGCTTCATCCTCTCGTGAAAATCTACATAGCATCACTCAATAGAAATAATAGCTGTTACACCCAAACCAGATTCATCTGGCCTCACAACCCATCTAGAAGTCGGATTAGCGGATCGAAAGTTGAACTGTATTTAGACTTAGATATCTACTACAGGTTTTCATTCTACAGTTCAATTTGTTTTGTTCATTGAGTGAGCATCAATACCATAATAGAGTGCAGCCTAAATACATACTGTTCCTACATACATGGAAGCCCCCCTTGTCAACTATCCATCTCTTTGAAGTTTGAGATCCTCGCCCGTACACCTCGGTGCAAAGAAAAGAAAAGAAAAGCAGAGCAGAGCAGAGCAGAGCAGAGCAAACCCAAGAGTCTTAACTTAAACTTTTACAATCCTTCCTATACCATACCAGTTTCCATCACCTTCTGGTCAGTTTTGGATAGATAGTTTAAGTTCACATTGTATTCGAAATACATAAATCACTCTAGTTTGCATCAAAATTGAAATACCATACATGATTCGAAAGGGGTCAAATGTGTTTTATCATATCTTATCCGCTGTATAGAACTATCATCGCTATTGGATGCTTGTCATCCACAATCATCTAACATAAGAATCCCCAGAGAGAAGAGAATCGGAGTACAATGGCTTGCATAAAGTACAGTGAGTGTAACGACACAAGTATCAAGAAGTCAGAGATAATGCTTCTGAAATAGGAAAAAATTACAGTTCGTTTTTCGTTCCATGTTCCGTAAATAGTGCAGACAATGCAGAGTAGGAGCTGTGTGTGTAGTCTACAAGTATTGATCTCGTCGGCGTTCGTTTTCTTTTCATATCCATCACCAAACCTATTCTTCATCACCTATCACCAATCCCTTTGTGCCCGCCAAACCATCATGAGCAGTTCATGAAATTGCATTGCGTGTCATCATCACATCCATCTATATTTTTGTCTTGCGCTCTGAGCCCCAACCTCTTAAATACCCACTTCTCCTACAATCTTCGCAGCTTCCTTATACGTCCTCAACAACTTCTCGCACTTCTCTCTCTCCTTCTTCACTGCATCATCTTCGTAGAGGAGCTCGCCGAATAAGTCTTCGCGATACAATTCGCTAACCAGACGGTTTTGAACCACGTCTTTAGAGTGATTGACAAGTAAATGCATAACAGCTTTGGGGACT